GCAGCAGCCCCCTGCCCCACCCCGCCCGCCATATTGGCAGTGGCAAAAGGTGACAAACTCCTTATTAGCCAACTTCAAATCAACTTTGGGGTAATCCTGATAGTTCTATTAACACAGTATGATCACAACCTTGATTTCAAGGTTTAATGAACTTGTTTAAAATGTTCTTCCTTGTAGACAGTGAAATACAGCTTAAGAGCTGCCGCTTATAGTGCATTTTAGTATAGCATAGCAGCCGCTTCAGAATTTTAATGTTAAAGAGAAAAACATTTAACTGAAAGATACAGTTGTTTTCCATGTATGTCCAGCCATTGATGCCAGCTTGATGTAGTGCAATTGGAAGAAAAAGTAATTATCTCTTTTCAGTTTTATGATTATTTGACAGTCCTAACACATTTGTGTCTTAACTTGAAGTATTAAGAAAAGGGGATTAAGGGTCAAACCTCCATTAGATTAGTGATGAAGAAATTGTTCTGTAGAGCACAAACTCCTTTCTCTGGCAGGATGGACGTTTGCCGACACACTGGACAAGAGAGTGTCAGAGACTCTGGGGGAATGTAGTTTTGGAGACAACTGAGGAGGGAGTCAACACAAAGAACACAAAAGTTAGAGTATAAAATATACAGCAGCTAAGCAGTTCATTTGCATTGTTCTGTGTATAATTATCAGACATATTCAATACAATACAATAGAAAGAACACTACACACAACAAATAAGGGAAAAGTGTGAATCTGAGTCAATACACAGGACCCACTGCCTCAGGAGAAAACACACACACTTTGTCTTAATTACATTTCTGACGAACAAATCTGCGTACCAGAGGCACAAATAAAAAGTCTTCAGGGAAAATATATTTTTGTGCACACAGTAATGTTTATGTTTCTGCATTTTTGTGTGTGTGGAGTATTAGGGAGGTTTTGGGTTATGACCTAGCATCATCATACATCTATCCCACCGGCCCCTAAAGGCTGGAGATGTTCAGGTTCAGGCAATCTAGTTAACATAAGCCTGCATCAAGTCTAAAACCAAGCCCACAGTCAACAAAACTTTGCTGCAATATGCAGATCACATCACATTTCTGGCTGACAGGCCTGGCTGCCATCCAGCATATTACATACATTAGTTTTTCTTTAGCTTCTGTTTTCACTAATTAGCTGGCTAGACAGTAAGTCTCTGTTGTTGCACACAAGGATGTCTGGCAGCTGCCTGGGCTGCATACTAACACCATTCTGTTTAATTTAGGACACCATGCACGGTGTTATCAACCAAGCCTTGGTAAACAGCAGTTATGAGCTTTTGAAAAGTCCTGGTCTACCTACCGCTCTGTCAAAGCCACAGTAACACTATGATGCCTGCATAAGTTACTGTTACTTCGTCAGACACACAGTCAGCTGGGGACCAAAAGGCTCACACAGTTATGTGGTGGAAAGTTCTGTCAGATGGGCACATGTCTCTCAACCTACGAGCACTTGCTGATTTTATAAATGTCCAAAACAGTAAACAATGCCCATTATGGTGTTTCTTTTTTAAGATTTTTTTTTTTTTAGTTTGCATGTCCTGTGTGGGTTTTCTCCACGTACTCTGGCTCCCATAGCGCAAAGATATGCATGTTAGTTTAAATGGTGACTCTAAAAGGTGTGAATGGGAGTGTGAATGGTTTTTTCTACTAGGGAGCACAGAAATATGAGAAGAATTCTAATAACAGGATGGGAGGACAAGTAATGGCAGGTAAAAACTGTGTCATACCACTTTCTCCGACTGGCCAGAAAAAACTACATGTAGCTTACAGTGTGAGCAGAGACTTAAGTTTGTGTCAGGTGACACTTAAGGGCAATGTAGATAATCATGTTACTTTGCCAGTGGTCACTGAAACAGAGAGCACAAATGTTAGTTACCTTTCACAGAAGGTGTGCAGGCAGGGCAGGACCTTGGGGTTGCAGTAGTGATCCAGACAGATGCTGCAGACCAGAAACTGCTTGTCTATCTGACGCACCACAGGGCTGGTGCTCCCGGCCTCACGCTTCGCCATGGCAGAGGATGCTTAAAGCCACGGGCAATGACAGCAGTTAACCTGCAGAAAAGCAGAGATAAATGCATGAATATTTGCCTATGTTGGTCTGTAAAAGGTGTCACTTTAGGGAACGTTAGTGCTCATTAAACTTCCCACAGCAGGTGCCAGGAACTGAAGTTAACAAAGCTGTTTAATTCCTTATAAAACATGCCCATTGTTAAGGCACTCCTGGTTAATGCTGGACAAACTGCGGAGTAAACAGAACTGTGTGAAACAAAAACATGCATCACAGAAGCAGCAGATGTAGACAAACCAGTATGATCATGTGCGTAGCTTTTGATTAACATCTCAGTTAATACCAAAGCAGGAAAATAAAAGTAGCTAAATGCTTTGCAAATACGCAGTAAATGCTGTTTGTGGTTAAACAGAAGCCTTTCATTAAAAAAAACACAGTAATGCCTTAAATCAAGCTTGCCTGGCTACACAAGTACAGGAAACAATACTAAAAATACACACTCCATGGGACTTGTTATTAACCAAAACCACTATTGACTAACCATAACGCTTGCCCAAAACTTAAACTGAGACGTCACTCTAAAATTTTGTGATCCACAACGTGAGTGTGTAAACAGGTTTTGGTTGCCACAGTGTAAGTAGTGCCAGGTACACACACACACACACACACACACACACACACACACACGACTGAAAGCAGAATGTGTGGAGTTATCTGTTTCCTTCTATTTATCTTTGTCAGTTTGTCTCTGTTTACTGGAGATGTCTCACTACTGCTAAACTTTAATTTGCTACTGGTAGAAATATTGCCTCTAGACTGAACCATCTGTGCTTACATAAAATACAAAATTAAATAAGAACAAAATAACAAAGACAGTGAAAACACTCAGTCACCTTCAATAATGTATAAACACATAGATTAAAAGATGAAAAATGTTTATTTTAGCTGCTGTATGTATTAAAAGAGTAATAGCAGGTTATTATGTTGCCTTTTAATTTTGGTGGACACACACTTCCTTTCATTTGGATAACTGATGCTGCCTTTAAACACAGAATTGTGTCAGTGTATTAAATAATATGTATTAATGTATTAATATGTATATTCAACATTATAAAATATTTCTGCTGGGCACAAATTTAAACTAAATAAATGGCAAATCATACGTCAGTGAAGTCCATGAGGTGAGCGGAGCAGGGGAGCCCCTGCCTCACATAATCTCATCCATTATGGAAACAGCTGCAAGGTATTGATAACCTGCCTTGCAACACAAACAATGCTGTTTACAACATGGTCCACTTTCACATTCATTAGTGCAAGTCCTAACACATCTGGGATAGTAATTACAGGAGGATGGTAAAGATGCTACAGCAGCATGCTTTCATTGTGCACCTAGTGTAAATGAAGCAGGAAGATCAGGTGTTAACTATGCAAAAAGTCTGAATTACATAATGTACATGTCATTTGCAACAACGATTTTTTTGTGTGCAATGTCACAAAAGGCCTTGACAATGTGTAATAGTAGATAATAGTTTCACCTTATCTTACCTAAAGCTTAAAATGGGTAATGTTGATGAATACTGAATACTACTACTAATGTAGTCTAGCCACATTTCTCAGTAGGTCAACACATGTATTATTCATGTGTCAGACACAGTCATACACTCATGCAAATGCAGGGATTATCAAGTAGCAGCATGTATCTCAAACAAACATGCCTGGCCTTAAGATGTAGTTACGAACATAAAAACTTACACACTCGATGACAAGGACACAAACATGAAAATCATCATCCCCCACCAGACTGTCACCCTGACTGCACATCTGTCACTGCTGGATCTTATATACCACTCAGTCCTCTGTGTCCCATCTCTGCTCATGTCCCATTGTCAGCTGTTGCCTACAGCACACACACCTGGGTAAAAGCCAGGCTGTATCTTTCCAGTCTCTCAAAGTGGGTCAAATGACACACTAGCTTGGGAAGGTAAAGGTCACGTCTTAAGCTGTCAACCATGAGAACATGTCACATTCACACACTGGTATGGTACAAGGGTGTCACAGGGAAATCATTAGAAGAAAGTAGCTTACATTTTGTCTAAATCAAAATATGTATTGTTCTCTATTAATCCGGGGCTAAAAACTGGCCCTTCAAGAGTATCCAGTTGTCTCTGTGGGATTCTGATGAAAAGAAGCTTGAATGTCTCTCAACAGAATGTAGAATTAAAGAGGGATCAACCACAGGATGTACTGTATACTTCAGTATAGTTCTAACATTTCTCTGCAAGTCTCCTTCTGCACTGTTACTAATATCATCATTCTGTAATGACGTCTGTCTAAATTTAGACATGAATTAGTGGGTAGACAAGGAAGCAATGACAGTGAAGCTAAAATAAGACTGTGGGTCTTAGGGCTGCTGGAGAATGACATGGCTGGGGTCCATTTGTTTACTCTTGGTTATATTTAAAAGACATTTCTGTTGGCAGCCCAGAGTAGAATATGATTCTGAAGTGCAATAAATTCAATATAAGATTTTTTTTCTCAATAACCTGAAATGCAAAAAAAAAAAAAAAAAGAGTAGCATAGATGTTAAAACCATCTGCTCAGTGTCAGTCACAGACTTCATCTCTTTTGAACTCACAGTTTATTGGATGTATAAAATGTACAAGTCTTTATAAAGCTCTGTATCTTCCAGCTCTATCAGACTGACTGAAACATGAAATGCACACATGTGACAGTCATGCAAGCTCGTAAGCTCCTGTGCATGGACATCTTATGTACTCAGGTCTGTGGTCCCAACAACAATACAAAACAGTTCTCTTTGTCTCGTTCATCACTCAAACATGTACTGTTAATTTTACTGTAAAGTATGATCCTTATATGTATCTCTTGTAACACACACAAGGAAATTAAGTGGAAAAAGTGGAGCTGACAAAACAAACAATTAAACATCATCTTTGCAGTTAGGAAAAGGGACAGGAAGACAGTTTAATCAGTAAGGGAGCTCTCTGCTCACTGTCATTCTCCTGTACAGTGACAGTTAATATGTGGTGACAACTTGGACAAATGCACAAACGCACACACTCCACACTAGTGATAGCTGACTGATACTGTAAGATCATACATACATGAACTGTATGAACATGAGGACAAACAGAGAGTTGACAGAAAGACTACGTACTGTCAGTGAAGTGGAGTAGCTCAGTCTAGAAGGCTCCATGGCAGCTCTGTGCTACGCCAGTGTAACATTTGAAGAATCAGCACACACCCAGACTTTTACGCCCACTTCCCCTCTCGTCTCCCCCCCCGGCTCTGCTGACCACTCTTACTGTTCTCTTCTCCTTCTCTCGTGTTTTTTTCCTCTTCAACACAACACACACATGCTGGAAAGGACAGATCGGGGATGACAACAGAGGGTGGGGCTGTAAATTGAAAGTTCCTCCTACTGTCAGTGTTGTTTACAAGGATCAGCTGATTGGACAGCCGCCTACTGTCGCTCTCTGATTGGCTGGGAAACTTAAACTAGCAGGGACAAGGGATTGAGTCATAGGGCAACAATTCATACTGGCCAGAGGGAGTGAGATGTAGAGATTGAAACAGACAAGAAGAAGAAGAAAAGTGCAGCTGTCAAAGCGGGAAAGACAACAACTTGAACCCTGGAGCATAATGCACATTAGGCCTTTATCTGCTGCCTAATTATTTAATTTGTGAAATGTTGTGCACACTCAAAACTAGGATGTTGAGGCACAGATGCAACTACTGTAGCTTTGGATCATCTGGCCTCCAGTTATAGTTTTATCATTATTTAACTGGCCAAGCACACACACACTTACGCAGCCCTATAATTCATGATGTCACCTTCAAAAACAAACCTAAAATGAGAATTTGGAACACATGCCTAAAGTTCCTCAGCCTATAAACCACAGTCCAGACTGCTGTGGTAGGTTTAATAGCAGGAAGTAAAGGATTAGAGGATGAAAATGCTGCTTACAGAATGACATATCAGTTGATGTCTGCAGGGAATTTGTTACTGAATCTTCCATACAGACCATCGTGCTAGTGTTTCCTGCAGCATCCTGAGCTCCTCTACTTGTGTTATGCTAACAGGAACAACTGTGGTCATGAAAGTATATATGCCTGTTAAACAAACAAAAGTAATTACAAGATCTAATGCCTGTCCTTTGCAAATTAAACCAACAGCCACAAACATATTGCTGCTGAATACAACAGTCTAATAGAGTGTCTTGTTTTCATTCTCCACAATAAGTAATTAGAGAGAGGGTATCTGACATGATCAATATACTGTACTAAATGCAGTGTGGGCAGCCTTTAAAAAGATTTGTAGTCCCTGCAGTGAGCACTTGACAGCATTATTGGCTCACCACTGTGCATTCTGCTGAAACAACAGTTTTATCAGGACTCTTGCAGTTATTAAACGGGAGGAAGATGAACCACCAGTGGCATCCACAGCGAGTCTAAGATAAGAATATATATCAGAAAATAAGTATTATAATACATATTTTCAGATATTTAAAACATGTATTTTTCAGAATTTGCCTTTTTATTCTAAATAAAAATAATATAAAGGTTCCAACTACATATAATTAACTAAGCAGAAAGACTATATTTTGCTATGAGAGACAAGCTAAACATTAGAAACAAACTCAATGCAGCAGTCAGTGCCTTGTTCAGTTTCGACAGCCAAAAGAAACAGTTCTGCCCCAGGGTAAGTAAGAGATTAAATGAAGCAGTAATGACAATAATGATTGTGAATTTGCCCAAGAAATGCACAAAGAAAATCCATCCCCACTTCAGGCAGTAAACAAGGAATTATATTTTCACAGAATCACATAGTTTTCAGATGGTTTGATTTACCATCTTTTATTCTGTGCCTTGTGAAAGTCAGACATTATATGAAAAAATGACAAGAAAGCTTCTCTACGAGTGACAGTGAGGAACAAGGGTTAAGGGTGCTGCTGTTTTTTCTTGCAGCCAATAATGTTCCTATACTCAGTGCTGCACACCTGATGCCTTGTTATATATATATATA